GAATTTAAAAGCTTCCTCCGTTTGTTGTTCTAAGAAGTTATAAAAACAAAGCCATTTAATTGCGCAGTTTAGTTTACCACTGCAGTTAGACCGCGGCAATTTCATCGTCGGAAGCGGGGATTTCGTTTCGTTATTTTCTAGAGCAATTTGTCACGGAATGTTCGGTTTCAGACCTAATCTCGTTGCATGTTTTTCCTTCGACAAATAATTTATTTGTCTGAGTAGGAAAACAACACGCTGTTTTTACTGAGATGAAAATCTGCATGTAATTGCAACAAAAGATTCACGCAAGCGGAATTAACAAAACTTTTTATGACAGATTTCATATAAGAAGCAGCCTCAGTCAATATATCAAAATATGTTAAATCTCCGTTATAATTCTTTAATTCTATCTTATCGGCCTGTAAGTAAAGTTACTGAATATCTTTTAATTAGAATACTGAATTGTGTGCAGATTCAAGCATAGCGATAGGCAAACAACACGTTTAGTGAAAAACGACCTTGGCGTTGAGAAGGATGCAAACTGCAGTCCTGTTACGAGAAATCGGGTTGTACAGTTATCCCCTTGCATGCGATTAAGTTTATTCCTTACACGCTTTGGCCAAAATTTTCCCATATTCTCGCAAATTTAAATGCAATTAAGCCACTTATCGTCTGCTTTTCCAAGTGGCATAATTGTTAGGGATGATATCTGATGCGGTTCTTCACCTTTTTCTGCTACAATATCCCCAATCATGTGATTTCCAAAAAATTTGAGATGACCCGTGGGTGGAAAGTTTCACTTCCCTAATTATCCAATATTTCAACATTTTAAACGAGTAAAGCACCTTCAAAAATCATTAGACTTCTGAAATTTGCGATTTCAAAACAATACATTATAGCGACGCCACAAACAAGAATATTTCCTTGACCTGAAAACCACACGCGCGGTTTCGTGGGGTGGTCTTTGAAAAGCGCGTAGTGGGAAAAGAAAAGCGCGAGAGCTCACGCGCGATTTAAAAGTGAATCTTCCTCTTGCACGCGCTTCCCTCCCCTTTTTTTTGCATTCATGGCCTAAAACCATCTCAGACTTGTCTCTGTAGTGGTTCTTCTCGCGAGTCACTCTTTCCTTCTGCTCTAGGTCTTCACTTTTTTAATCTCCCTAAAATTATCGGTTGACTTGTTGCCAGTATACACAACCAACAAAACCACTTTATTCAAGGGACGCTATGTTTTTGTTGAAAATCAATATCTGTTTTTTTGTAACATGGACGCGTAAAGATAACACAGAACTGTTAACACTTCGAAAAATAAGTCATCGTTATTGACATCCATCATTGTTTCCTTTTCGCCTCATCATCCTCTGCTCTATTTTCACAAAAAAAAACTAATCTGTTCCGGGCTGCTTCTCAGAAAATGGTACAACCTTTTTTTTTTTATCTGGGTACAAGTAACGAGTCCGTGCTTATTTTTAAACTTTAATGCCGTCTTCAGTGGCTTGATGCTGGTCCGAAAAATAAACTGGTGGTCAGTTCAAACTGGTTGTTACAACACAATACTCCTTTGTTGTATGCGCAAAGAGGGGACATTTTGTACCCGTAAAATAAATTAACCCAAGCCAAATGAAAGACTAAAAATTTCGTACCAAAACACGTCTGTGAATGTAAGCACCAGTTAGACTTCCTAACGATTTCAGTAGACAACGAAGAAATATTCACCATTTTATTGAGTGCAACTGAGAAAATGTGTTAAAAAGTTCTTTGGGATATTCAATTTCCCAATCATAGTAGACAAAAAAATATTCTATGCTATCTCCCTTAATTAAAGAGGAAAATAATTGCAGGTGGTAGTCGCTGCTGAAAACTACAAAGAAATTGCTAACTTCTTATATCATGCAAATTGCATCAATGATGAAAGAAAGACCTTTTCCGTGGCAAAAATTTGAGCAGCATAAAATTATGCCTCAGGCTTTGTTCATGTGTAAAATTACACATCAACTTATTAACACCAGATGGCAGTGGGATGATATTTTTTCTTAGCTGCATCCCTGCTTTATAATCAAAATCTCCTTAATGGCAGGATAAGAAACTTATCAAGACAATTAAAGAGAACATATATGTTGATATCAAGGCACAAAGTGTCTTTACAAGGTTGCTCAACTCACCTGAACAAATTGTTTATTTTCTCTTCAGCATGGGTTGGTTCCATAACTTACGGTATGATGTTCCTTCTCGGGCCTCTAGCGACCACCCTGTGCCAAAAGTTGGGCTGCCGTGCGACAACAATGATTGGCTGTATGGTGGCTGCAGGTGGTTGTCTCTTAGGGTCAATATCTACCAATATTTACTTGATGGACTTGACCTATGGATTAATGTTTGGAGTCGGAGCAAGCATGTGTTATTTTCCATCTGTAGTCATATTGGGACAGTACTTCTCAAAGCGCCTCTCATTAGCCAATGGAATCACTTCCTCAGGCAGCGGCGTTGGAACTTTGTGTATGGGACCTGTCATGCAGAAATTGATTCAGCACCTCGGAATGCGTAACACAATGAGGATCTCTGCAGGAATGCTTGCTTGTGTGGTTTTCTGTGCGCTTGTCTACAGACCCATAAACACTGGCTTTCTTCAACCAGCAAAGCAGGTTGAAGGGGAAAAGAAATCGCGATTTGCAATTCTGAAGAGTTTCAAGGAATTGTTTAAAAACAAGGCATACATTTTGTGGTGTTCATCATTAGCACTTTGGATGCTGGGGTACTTTGTACCATTTGTTCACTTGGTAAGTCCCTTTAATTTTTCCCTCTGAAATGACACACTCATTGCCACTGTAAAGCAACATCAGATTCATTTAAACCCAAAAAGAAACATAATAAAACCTGACCTTTATGAATACTAAGAGTAAATGCCCCACCAGCAGTGATACTATAAATGTATATAACTCAAAACAAAGCATTTAATATCACACCCTCGTCTAACATGCCAATTATAAATAGAACTCACTAGTGGCCCTCTCCCAAAGGCTTTTCAGCTCAGCTGGAAGTTTGAGCATTTGCGGAAGCTGGCATCAGCAGAGGTCATGGGTTCGAATCCCACTGAAGCTTCAGACTTTGAACTCTAGATTTTTGGTATTGCTTTCCAAATGTGAAGGTCTTTTTCATTTTGATAATAGAGCAAGGTCTTTATTTGTTCTTCCCCCCTTCTCTCCAAAGCAAGAAGAGATGAGTCAAATAAAGTCTCTACATTCTTTGCAAGTTGTGAAAAAATTTGTTTTAATATGGTTGAAACCATCATCAACAACCTGGTTATTGCAGAGAGTTGGAATAACTGCATGGAATCAGCATCTGGTCACAAACAGACCTGTCCATTGTAAAGAAGAAACTCTGAGCGGAGATTCAACTGCAACTGCATGTACTCAGTGGTTGTTAAACTAATTTACTATTTCTTTCTCAAACCTTTTTTCAGGTGCGTCTTGCCACTGAAGAAGGAATTGACCCATTCAAAGCAACACTTCTCATCGGTATCATGTCAGTTGGATCAACCCTCGGACGCCTCCTCTTTGGCAAGATGGCAGACCACCCAAAGGTGAACAGGCTGTATCTCTACCAGATCTCATTTCTCATGATCGGAATCAGTAACACACTTTGCCCTGTTCTAACTTCGTATTCTGGCCTTGTTATCTATGCCACGGTTTTTGGCTTCTTCGAAGGGTGCTATGTGCTTTTGGCTCCTGTCCTGACTGGTGACATTGTAGGAAGAGACAAGATGGCGCATGGTGTTGGCGTTCTGTTTGCCCTCAAGTCTGTGCCTCTTACACTTGGGCCCCCAATTGCTGGTGAGTTGAAAAGAGTGAAACAAGGATTGATTTCTATCCTTTCACTAAAATCAATTATCAATGCACTTGGAGGCCATAAAATTAAATGGTCAATCCCAACAAACAAGAACTACAATAAAACATGTAACTGGTGCTAAGTACAGAAAATATGGATAAAACAAAACCAGAACAGATCTGTGTTGATCACCCTTAACAGTGGCTTAAAATCCAATCTTACTTCCAGCTAATCTAAAATGTGAATATTTTTGGCTGCCCTTTCAGGTTTTATCTATGATGCCTCAAACTCGTATCAAGTGGCCTTCTACATTGCTGGTGCTGTACCGACTGCTGCTGCCTGCATGATGTTCGGCATTCCATTTCTGATGCCAGAGAGAGAAGAGGACAAAAAATGCAGAGTTGTTCTTGCAGAGGAAAGTGGCTATAATGAAAAGCCTACATACTTTGACGAAAAAAGAGCCTTGGCCGAGAAAGAACAACAGATGTACAGAAATCGCTACAGTGGTATTCCTGAGGTCATCATTGAAGAACCAGAGACAGAAGATAATTTTAGACCAGCATCTTTCTACAGTGTGGCAAGCAATGATAATGCTCTCTCCACTTTGAGTATCAACAACAAGAGAAACACTATTGGACTTAGCACAAACAGCATTTCAACAGTGCGAGAGACATGTCTTGTGTCGATGGACACCATAAATGTTAGACGAAGTCGGCTGCTCCAGCTCAGAGGGGAACTGAGCAGCTCTGTGTTCTCACTTGTAAGGAGATACATGGACATGCCCAAGGAGATTGCAGCCAGTGAATGTGGTAGCATTGCATGCATTCCCCAGCACATCGCAAACAATCCTCAACAGCCTCCTCCACCCCAAGCAGAAAAAGTAGTTGTTGTTGGCATGGAGACAGTTGTATAGGTGCAACTGATGACTAGTCAGTATGCCTCATAAGAGGTGCAAGTCTTCTACATATACATCTAACAAAAAGCCAGTGCTTGAATACATAGTTATTGAAAAATAACTCACCACATAACAATTACTTCACATTCAAGAACAAAATCATAAAATCAAATCAGAAGAATACATTTCACATGGTTAGGAAAATCCAAATGTTTGTAAGCCACAACAGTTTAGTGTAGTACTATAATTCTTACATGGTTTTGCACTAAACAAAGTTATTCATGAAAATCAATACTGAGTTTTGGTGTTTTAAAAAAATTACCTCGTGGTTATGGAGACCATATTACGGAAGTGAGAGTCAAATCTTATTAGTTCCAAGATGGAAATAGCAGTTCTCCTAACCGATTGCCATACAATTTGTTTCATATTCATTGTGCGAATATGGTAGTACATCAAGATGATAGATTCCATAGGTGTATGATTTTCTACTTTCTCCTCACCTGGCTGCTTCAATATGCTTCAATATGTCAGGTCAGAAAATAAGTGTTTTCACTCTTGGATGAAAAAGGATCTTTTTAATTGACCAGATTAATCAGCGTCAGGGTGAATGTTTGTGAATTAAAAGTACCACATGTGAGGGGTGGAATAATTTAATGCACTTGATGAAACAACCAATTTCAATATTTAAGGAGGAGCTATGTTAGATTCAATCATTAACATATATCATTATATAACATTGTCAGAGTTAATTTAACAATACTATCCAGTCACTAAGAACTCAGGGGCACCCAATAGATCGGTTTGGTAAATTATCTGTTTAATCACCTCTGATTTTCTTCAGAGAATTGTCATCTCCGACATTTGTGATATCAAAAATTTAATGCCTATTGTTTTAGAAGTGATAGAAATGTCATTTTGGGGTACCTAAAAAAATTCAGCTATGATTTTTGGAAAGGCAATGGCACCCAAGATTTTCTTGAAATGGAAAAAAAAATAATAACTTCCTCTAGAATATTCAAAAAGGTAAAAATTTTATAGGACAGCCTAACAGCAACTTACCGAGTTTTACAAGCATTCTAGATAACCTAAAACAGCATTTTAAAGCACTTGAGAGAAAACCATCATCAGGTGCCCCCAAGAATTGAAGAGTGAAAACAAGAGATGTGTTCGAGTGACTTGCCAATTTAACCACAATGACCAAAAATCAAGAAAAAGATTAAATATTTTGCATCTCACTGAGAGTGTATTGGTACTAACTGAAGCCATGAATTCAAAATTTCTCAAAGACAGCAAGCAAAAAACATGAACTGACATTTCAGATGTAGCTCATTGTGAAATTTGCATTCATTTTAGGGATACCCCGTCAAGCAACATGGCACTTTTGAAGGAAAAGCCTTTTTTAGCCATCAGTACAGTTGTTAAAAACAGTTTTAACAATCAAATGAAAAATAAGAAAAAACACAGACCAAAGCCTTATATTCTAAAAATCTTTTACAGTTAAAATCTTTTGCTATAAATTAACATTGCATCAATTAAACTGAAGATATGTTGTGCTTATCAAAGATTATCCTACAGTGTGTGCAAATTTATTCACATCAGTGATAGTAGCTGAGTGAAAGCAGAAAGAGCCACATCTAAACTAAATTATATTGATTCAAGATTATACAACTCAGTTGTTCACGAAGAAATGCTACAGTAGTTCTCTAAAAATACAGTTAACCAAACCTCCACGAGTGTCATAACTTTGGAAAGAACTATTTATGTTGACCACTGGTTCAATATTTTAAGATTATTTGTCTACAATACAATAATATATTTTATTCTTCTTGGGGGGTTACAATAGGGACTTGGTTTAACACAGAATTTACGAGTGATTTTTATCCTGAAGTTTGCAAGAAATACTTTACACTTACACTATTCCGTTGTTGTTGTTGTTTCTACTGTTTTGGCATTATTCATGTACCCTAGGGCCTATTTGTTGTTGTTGTTGTTGCTATTATTAATTACAGAGATGGGTGGACAGACACAGTTCGAAGACAAATAACATGACACGCAGATGTTGTAGCAAGGAAAATATCATTCCACAAGGATCACATTTTAAACAGAAAGACTGAACACATTTGTGATCTCGCAACAACTTGCAAAATTAGCCAACAAGCTGTTCCTTTGCTACATAGAGCACTAGGGTTTGAAATGTGTGTAAAAATGTTTTTAAAAGATGTAAGTTTACATTTGTTTTATAAGTGCTATTAATTTGTCATTACCACAGTGTAGCTGGTCTTACAGTCAATGATTTGTAAGTTTACTCTGCTACATAGACCACTCAATTAGGGTGTCAATGTACCTCAGGTTTTATTTTAAACTAGTTTTAGAAGTTGTGTCACTTAGTTCACATGTTTGTGTATTACATAGTGTGAAGGATTCTGTAGAACTCGTTTGTACAATCAACTCATTTTAGAGTTGCTTTACCCAAAAAAAAAATAAATGCAACTTGTTCTAAAGTTGGAAAAATTAAACACAGTTGTCTGGACAGTTGTCTGGAGGTATTTACTTGAGCAACTGTATTGATGGTATGGTCTTCTTCATATGAAATTATTGTTATGGCTATTGCTACTCTTTCCGATGCAAGTCCATCACCAGTTAGTCGGTTACACACCAGTATATTTTTCAGCCGTTTTGTAGGGTCTCCCAACAAATGCAACTTGTCGAAAAGGGAAGAGGAGAGATAACGAAAAAAAAAAAAAAAGCATCAACTGATGTGGTGTTGAACCAACCTCTAGTCAAAAACTGCAAGGCTTGCAGCGCAACGCATTAATCACTTGTGCCATCAAAGCACCGTTTGCAATATGGGTCAATTATTTGTTTATAATACTTGTTTTGGCTCCATCAACTGGCAGTTAAAGTGATGCTTCGCTGGTTTCATTGTTCAGCAGAACAAAAGACTTCTTATTTTCTCGTGCAACAAAAGATCTCCAAAAGATGCCACAGGAAAACTGAGTTTTTTTTGCATACATTATTTATCAAAAATGAAGAGCGAACCAGGGGGAAAAATACAGGGCGATGTTTTTCTATTCAATTAAAAACCACATCCAAAAATTCAGGCACTTTTGAGGAAAAAAAAAAAATTGTCACTTAGCATGGTTTTGCACTCACCCTTCAATTATGAGGAACTTTAAGGTCAATTAGTGCTGTGTGGATGTAACTGAGAGCTAGCTAACGGTATATTTCACAAAGGGAAGTTAATTCACTCACAGGTTGTAATTTCACTAGCAAACAAAGGCTTTTGGAAATTCTTGGAGCACAGGCCAGAGGGCTTGTGAATGAACCTTCATTGTTTTTCCTTAGGTAAAATTCTAAAACAAGGTTGTAAATTACTTGGCTGGCACTTAAATGCTGCTAACTTGGGTTTTCGAACTTCTACGATTCTGCAGTAGGCCAGTAAACATGGTTGTAATTCACATTTCATTTTGTCCTTTTACAATCTCTGCAATCTCTGGTGTAATTACAGCCAAGTCCCTGGAGGGGGGGGGGGG